GGCAGGCAGGGCCATGGCATCCCCCATCACCGGTGGGCTGCTGAGACGCTGTCCCCAGGGCTTCAGATCCAACCCTTCCCTCCATCACCAATCCCTCTTCTCACTGCTTGGTAAGAAAACCTGCCTGGAGCCACGCGAGGAGACCCACAGCGGAGGTGGCCTGGGCGCGTGGGCTTGGCAGAGCTCAGATCTCCACCAGGATTTAGGGGGTGACGAGTCCCCCCCCTTGCCCTGGGGCAGGGTCCCCACTCCTGACACTTCGACTCGGAGGACTCGTTTCCCGAGGCGGCCCAGAGAAAAGGGTCCCTTTCCAGCAAGGGATGCCCACACAGCGGGGTCCCACGCTACCAGCTGTCACCGCTCCGCCACCCAGCCCAGCGACAAACCCAACCAGCACCGTCGCAGCAGGGCACTGGGACCTTCTGGAAAGGCTTCCCCTCCCTGCTCCCCCCGGGACCCGCCTGGCTCTGGCTGCCTCCCCCGCCCGCCTGCCCGCCATGCCCTGGAGGATGCTCACAGGAGGACCCAGCAGATCGGGCACACGTGTGGGCTGGGAGCTGGGGGCCCTACCCCGTCTCAGTATTTGACCCTAGGGTTTGCGTTTCGTGTTCGACCTCAAGCTCAGCCCGGTGGCTCTAGCCCATCTTAACAAACAAAGGCAGAAGAGAAAGGAAAAAAAAAGTTAGTCTCAATGTTCCCCTCGTGGCTTCTCAGTGGTGAGCCCCCGCCCCAGGGCGGGGGGCCCCCGGGCACCCAGGTCTGGTTGCTGCGGACCCCCGGGCAGTGCGGGCACGTTGAGCCCATTCTGCGGCGGGAGAGCCGAGTCAAAATTGAAGTCCATCTCGTCGCTGTCCATAAAGTCATTCAGGATGATGGACTCCACGTCGCACTCCAGGCTCCCGTTGAACATGTCCAGGTCCAGGTCTGCTGGGAACCTGTCTTGGCCCAACACGGGGGGGTGGACAGCCCCCGGGTAGGGGCCCTGCAGCGAATCCAGCAAGCTCATGTGTGCCCCTTGGTTATTCGCGTAGGGATGCAGGTGCCCGTGGTGCGGCATGGCTGTCACGCTGCACGTGTCACTGGGCAAGCTCATAAGGCTGACAGGATTAGCTAAGGCACTGGTGTTGACCGCAGGGTGGTGACCGGCTGGTGACGGGTGGTACAAAGCGTTGCTCTTCATGAGAGAGCCCGAGTGGGATGGGTAGGAGGACAAACCCTGCTCCCCGCTCCCGCACAGCAGCGGGTTGGCGAGGCATGCCTGTAGGAGCTGACGGGCGAGAAGGTGGCTTGCTTGTTCTCCTGGATGGTCTGCATGGGCAGGCGGCGCATCAGGCTCATGGCCGGCTGGCTGTAGATGGTCCCGCAGTATGTGTTGGTGGCAGCCCCCATGGTGGAGCACTTGGAGTTGAAGGTGAAACTGGAGCTCCGCTGCCGCAGGGCGGCCGGAGGGAGCTGCTGCGAAGGGCTCATGGTGTAGCCGTCCTGCAGGTCCTCCAGCATGCTCTCCCCAAGGCTCTCGTTCAGGCTGATGGTGCCGGTCAGGTCGGTCAGCCGGGGCAGCTCCACTGAGCAGCGGGCGTTGAGGGAAGGAGACATGGTGCTGGAGGGGCTGGGGTACATCAGCGGGGAGGAGGGGGGACCAACGTCCTCCTCCAGCTCGTCTGGCTCGTGGTTGGACATGATGGGCGAGAGGCGCCCGCTCAGAGTGCTGGCTGTGGAGTTGGCCCGCGTCCTGAAGTCCGCCCAGGCGTCGTACTCGTCGCTGGCGTGGGACGCGGGGCTCTCCGACCATTTGGCTTGCTGGGAGGAAGGGCTGTCCTCCCCGCGCTCCTGCGTCACCTGCAGCTTGCTACTTCTTGCTGGCCTCCCCCTTGATCCGCAGGAACTTGCTGTTGTTGTCCATCGAGACCGCCCGCCGGCGGGGCGTCTTCCCCGTCTTGCCGCCCTCGGGGTTCAGCATCCACCAGGAGCTCTTGCCGGTGCCCTCGTTCTGCACGCGGATGAAGCGGGTGTGCAAGGAGAGGTTGTGCCGGATGGAGTTCTGCGGAGACAGCGAGGACAGAGGGGACGGTCAGCACCGGCTCCAGCACCGCGCGCAGGCGGGGGATGCCCGTGGGGCTGGGGGGGACACGGGGCATCACGGGGGACCTGGGCTCCATCTCAGAGGGCTGGTGGGTCTCTCCCACGGCACCGCCGGGAGCCCACGGGTCACGGCCCTTTGCTGCACCCATCAGCGACCTGTCGTTAGCGCAATCACTGCCACGGCAAGGAGCGCGGGGCGGGTGGTCTTTAGCACATGCCCCAGGGACCTGCATCAGCCAGGAGCAGATCTCTGGGGACTCTTCTTCCCTGGCAGGAGCCTGGGGAGGGACAAGGCGAGAAGGCAACAAAAGCAGAGGCAGAGGAAGGACCACGCACAGGTCCTGGTCTCCTCCATCCCTCCCAGCCCCAGCCACCCCTGTTCCCAGTGGAGCCCACCGGGATGCTCCCAGCACAGCCTTGCCCTTGCGCACCTCTGCAGAGGTCCCAGCCCACTCTCCCCACTCAGCCCACCAGCTCCACGCGCAGAGGGACCCCCTTCGCCCACCCACCACCGGGCACCAACCCCCTGGAGCTGGCTCCACACCGCTTCCCCTGCCCGGCAGTGTTCTGCGACGCGGTCCCCTTCCCCCTCGTCACCGCGGAGGGAGAACCGCACGTCGCGCAGCCGGCGCCGGCACCATCACGGCCCAGAGCAACGCCTCAGCACCACGCCAGCAAGGTCTTGTCCCCAAAATGCCTGTCACCGCCCACAAGCAGGGCCGGGGACCCAGGCAGAGAGGGTGTGGCTGGCTGCGTGTCTGCGCTGGTGGCAGGGACAGCAGGCACACACCCTGCCCAAGGGGCTCGGGTACCACAGCACAGGGGGGGCTGCAAACCCAGCCGCAGCCCCCGCCGCCC